GGTGCAATTGTAGGGAGAAATTAGATGTGTGTCACTCTTAGGGGTTAAAGGGTTAACCCTTTAAACCTTAACATCAGTATGCATCTTCTCCATACTCTTCTTTATACATTCCCTAAGTACTGGAAAGGAGAATTAGTATATTAATCAGGTGCATCTTGAGTAGATGAAAATTTCCTAAGGATGATGAAAATAAAATTTTTTCTATCTTATGACCTTAACCCTTTACACCCTGACATCAGTATACATATTCTCCTTACTGTTCCTATACATTATAAGGTGCTGATGGGGAGAATTTGTTTCATAATCAAGAGCTTCTGTAGCTGGTGATCATTTCCTTTATTCTTGTTACCATAATGTGTGATTTGGGGGTGATATTGTAAGTAGAAATTAGATGCTAGTCGCTCTTTGAGGTCAAAGGGTTATTGCAATATGAGTGAAATTACTAAAAGTTCAGTTGAGGTTCATGCTTTTTTTTTACCATTCTTCATAGCAGAGGGAAGAGCAATAGTGTCTTTCATTTTAAATGAAAGTTTCCAGGACATTACTTTGCATAAAGCCCTTTCCTTTAAGAAGAGCCTATGCAAGCATTTGAAGTTGATACCGGCTGAGTTCACTTTTGTTACAACAGTGAAGATTCCACGAAAGCATCTGGTGTTTCAGTTGCCTTCAGAAGTGCTCCCTTTTCTGCGGCATTGTACTGGATGGAGAAAGGAGTGGCTGTTTTCGCTCAATGTCAGTGGTGTACAGGTCTCTGGAGAAGATGAAATTTCAGTTCATGAACTGAAAATATCTCAACTTAGATTGCAAGAAGATCCAGGTATGACAGGAATTTGAAATCTCAGTATACTTAATGTAAAAAATGGTAAATGAATTGTTCAAGTGTAAAGCTGTATTTAAAAGCTAAATGTTGTTGTAGCCCTCTTCCTCCTTTCCTTTGCAAATTATACAGGTGTCAAAAAGCAAGACATCTTTCTGAAAGTACCCCATTAAAAATGCTCATATGATGGACCATGCAGGGATAGATGGGTTCAAACTCTTCACATGGCTGGTCAATACATGAACCACTGGGATAACACAAAAATACAATGAACACATCACTAAATTTCTAACTTTGTGTACACTTTTAACCCTTTAACTCCCAGGAAATGATTCTTAATTCTCTTCTCTGGCTGCTACACAGTTTCTTGTAGGATAGTTACAAGAATTTGGAGTTTGATCAAGTTAAAAACTTCTACTTGATAAGTTTGAGTGTTCTTATGACCTGTTGGCTGGATAATGTGTAGATATTATTGGGAGAAATGACATGTTAATCACTTCTGGGAGTTAAAGAGTTAACCCACAAAATTAATGAAGATGTCCCTTGTGCACCACAGGTAGCTTTCCCACACAGACCTCTTTGACCCAAATTTAATTGCAAACTTGATAAAATTAAACTCGCATTTCATGCAAGTAGACATGATATAACAAGCAAAGTTAATAGATAAGACAAATAATCACACTGTACAATTTTGATGCAACTAAGACAGTTGTTTACCTAAAGTTATGATCCATTCTGAGGCTCCACTGGCATGTGCAAAAAGGTGGTAATTTTCCCTCTTTTGTTCATTTAGGTGGCAAAAAATAACTCTCAACATTACAATGAACTTCAATTTGGAAGAAAAGCTCCAAGCTTAACTTTCTGAATTTTCCTATGTAAAATGGTCACTACAAATAATGATTTGGTCTTGAGGACAAAAGGGCAATTTGGGGGCTTAATATTTGTGCAGCCAAGCAGAAAGAGAATTTTTTTTTACAGGAGAAAATGACAGAGCATGAGTAATAGTTTTGATGAGAATGATTACCTCACCTATCTCAGACCACAACCACTGCCTCATCACACACCTTTCCTCTTGCTACTGACTACTGAACACTGACAAGCCACCAAATTGGTGACATGCACTGCATATTAAGTCACCAAAATATTTTCAGTAGCTGTGCATGGTGACTGATACCGCTGTAGTTTAGGGCCCTGAAAAGAGTACAATTAAGGGTAATGATGAAAATAATTTTTAAAAGAGATTAGATTTGTTAATTTTTATTTCTATTAATCATTTATTTTTGGTCATTTCTTCATGTAGTTCTGGTGTCTCCTGTGTTGCGAGTAAGTGAAGCTGCAAGGACAGGTGATGTCCCAGAATTGAAAAGAGTTCTTGACGCAGAAACCATAACTAAACGAGATTTTCTGCTCAAAACCCGCACTGATGGAGCGACACCTTTGATTATAGCTGCAAGGAATGGTAACACTGCAATTGTCCAGTGCCTGCTTGATGAGTATGATGTAGACTTGGAGCAAGAGGGCACCGTCAAAATCGACGGAGATCTGATTGAATGTTGCACACCATTATGGATGGGGTCTCTAGGAGGTCATTTAGCAATTGTGAGGTTGTTATTGGAGCGAGGGGCTGAAGTGAATCATACAACATTGACTAACTCCACCCCACTGAGGGCGGCTTCCTTTAATGGACACACTGAGGTATGTTTGATATCAAGGTTAAGAGTGCACATTCAATTAAAAAACATTTTAATAAACTCTCTCCCTTACAAGACGACCACTGGTCAGAAGAAGTGCTTGCACTCTTGACTGCATTCCTCATGGTCGTACTCAGACCTGACCATTTTTTAAACACCAGTTTTACAATGTGTCAGAAAAAAATTTGACAGATTTGTTTGTCTTGTTCATGGTCCTTGGCATACTTGCCTACAGTCTTAAAATAAATATTAGTTAATTATTTGCATCGGGAATTTATACGTTTATTTTCCATCATAGAGTTATTTTAGTCCTTGCCTAGGGGCTCGTCTCTGAGTCAGGCCCAAAACATACAGGGTTCACAAGGGTCCTACAAAACCTGGAAGGTCCTGGAATTTTATTTTGACATTTTCCAGGACTGGAAATTCCTGGAAAAAGAATATAGGTCCTGGAAAGTCCTGGAATTCTTCTTAACCCAAGCTATGAAGTATTCAGAATTTATGTTGTAAGAAATGTATGTAGACCGTAAGGAGAATCGATTTGGAAATCATGGGAATGAAATGGTTCAAGGTGAAATTTGAATTCCTAGAAAAATCAGGCAAATTCCTAAAAAAGAACTGGAAAAGTAATTGAAATTTGTCTCTGAAAAGGGGCACCAACCCTGTATTATGGCCAAGAACATAAACTCTCTTGATTTATTCTGAATCAATTGTGTTTCTTTTCCTTTCCTTTTTTTAAAGGTTGTGCGATGTCTCATTAATCACGGCGCAGACGTGAACAAGCGAAACCAGGATGGAAACACTTGTATTATGGTGGCTTGTTGGAACGGACATCTTGATACGTTTAGGTTACTACGGACATCGGGAGCCAACATGGAAGTACAGGACAATCAAGGTTTCTCGATGATTCATTGCGCTACAGCTGCCAATAATCTAACTCTCCTTCAAGAGCTCCTTCCGGTACCGAATACTGAGGCGGTGAACGCGAAAACCTCGGAAGGTATTACTCCGCTGATGTTGGCTTGCGAAAAAAATCACCCCGATGTTGTTTTATTGTTGTTACAAAAGGGCGCTGCAGTGGATGAAAGGTCTGACAAAGGTCTTACTGCGGCTCATTTTTGCGCACTGTCAAACGATATTAATAGTCTGCATCATCTTATAGACTATAAAGCAGATCTGAGCAAGGCCACGGAGCGAGGCAGTACCCCCTTAATGCTGGCCTGCGCGAAAGGCTATGTCTCTATAGTAACTGCCTTGCTTAGAAACACTTGTAAGTCCAAGTTGAAGAACGAGATTACTTCAGCCCTAAAGCTCCGCAACTTGACAGGACAACCCAGCTGCCTGGGGCTTCTGGCAACGCCGAAAGGGATGGATATAAATGCTGGGAACGAAAATGGAGAGACCTGTTTGATGATGGCCTGCGAGAAAGGAAGCGTGGAGATCGTAAGGATTCTCCTTGATGAAGGAGCTGACCCAAACGGCGCCGACCAGAACGGTGTGACCCCTCTGATGATCTGTTGCAGGCGAGGTCAAGAGAGGATTATACCCCTGTTGTTGAGGAAGGGTGTGCTTGTGGACCAAAAGAACAATGAAGGAGACACCGCTTTGCACATTTGTGTGCGGCATTACCGCGAGTTTAGCGGTCACAAGAAGTGTTTGGAGCAACTGCTTAGTACTGGCGTGTGTTTAGATATGAAGGTTCGTAGACATTCTCGTTCACAATCTCTCTCTACTGTTTCACTTCCCCCCCCCCCCCCCTTAGCCCAACCCATCCCCCCCTTAGCCCAACCCATCCCTCCCCTCCTGGACCTGCGATCAACTCCAATATCCTTTAGTTACTTGTCGGTTATTCGTTGTGTTATAGCTTGGCATCAAATGTGTTCCATGTGCAGAAAAGTTGTCAAGAAAACGTGCAAAGGCTGTTTTTTTCTGGAGTGTTTTCTTCCTTAAACCCATTGTATTTCCCTTTGTAGGTGTCGGGTCTAAGCCTTTTCGGAGCCTGTTTGCCTGTGACGATTAATTTGTCACAAATGCACACGGTATCAAAATAAATTATGTTGTAAACCAGCCATACTAAGTATCGAGTTGTCCTCCTATGTTCTCTGTGAAACGAAGCGTTCGCGTTCGCGTTCCAACGAAATAGAGAGCTCGTTAAAGCGGAGCTCGTAACATGCGCAACTTAGCTCCGTGCTTACCGTACCATTTTTTGTCTCTGTTCAGAATTCTTCAGGCGACTCACCAGTCACAGTTGCTCTCAAAAACATAAAGTGGTGCGGGCAGGCGTTTGAAATGTTACACAGTAGGGGACTGGAACTCAGTAGCCCACTTCAAGACACCAATGGCGACACAGTTTTCCATAAATGTGCGAGATCTGGTGACGTCTCGTCTATGACCTTTCTGTTGGCCCTGGACAACAAAGGACCCTTGCAAAAGAACCAAGATGGCGACACGGCTCTCAGAGCAGCAGCCTTAGAAGGCGCCGAGGCAATGACGCGCACTCTCATCAACACGGTCAGTGGGTTCTCACTTAGGGACAAGGTGGAGGCTCTTGAGTTGTTAGGTGTCGGTGTATTGGCTAAAGAGATATCACGTGATTGGGACATATCTGCCGTGGTGGGTTTCTGGCAGGAAGCTCTAACGCTTCGTCGCACCCACAGTCTTACGCTCCCAAACATCGTTCCTCGCGAGTTTCCGCTGGAGTACTTTTTGGAAGCCAGGCTACCCAGCGATCTGACTGCGTTCGAGTCAAATCCGAGCGCGGTCACTGCGCAGGCGCTGCAAATTTGTGACCGCGTTTTGGGGGATACCCATTCACGCCTGCCCTCCCTCCTGGGGACCATCGGCGAACGATTTGCGCAAATAGGCGAGTTTTGTCGCAGTTTAAATATTTGGCTGTACGTTTTAGAGATTCAACTCAAATCCCTTTCTTCTTTACCAGACGGGGTTGAAGACTTGCTTAATACTTTCCGCTGTTTCGCTGATGCGTTTGGTTTTGTTTTGAGCCGAAGTGGGAGTGTCTTGCATTTTAAAACCGTCTATCAAGTCATTAAAAGTGCGTTGCAAGGTTTCAAAACATGCCCTGCAGTATACGAATCACGTGATAAGATGATGGTCTATCTCCTTCACTATTTGTCTGCCTTACTAGAAGTTGCGTCGGACGATCGTGATGTAGAGGTTGTCATGGAGACAGTCAAAGCGGTTGCGTGGTTGGGCTTGCGCAGCACAACAGGGTCAACTCTTCTCCACCTTGCCGCAAACTCTAAAAGTGAAGACATTAGCTCTCTTAAGGAACACCTTCACTTTCCGAGCCGCCGCGTTTGTGAGCTTTTGATGGACAGCGGTATTGATCAGAACGCTTTAGATAGCGACAGGAACACCGCACTTCATATACTTCTCACCAAAGGGCACGCTGAAAAAGATGTGTTGGCTTGCTTTTTAAAAGCAAGGCCGCATTTGGACGCGAAAAATTCGTCAGGGAAAACAGTCCTTGACTTGGCGCGGTGCAAAAAGGTCAGGGGTGTTGTCAGGGCCGCTGAACGAGTTCCTGGTCTACAATGTCTCGCGGCCCGAGAGATTATACGAGAAAAGTTGCAGTACGAGGGTATAGTTCCAAAGAGATTAGAAACATTTATACAGCTACATTAGCTCAACGGATGTTATACATTTAAACTGCGTGTATCAACTCACAGAAACAAATATTAAAACATTTCGTAACGCCTCAATTGGGACTCGAGTGTACTGTTGCCAAAAGTGCCTCAGGCTAGTCACGTGAGGCAAATCATCAGGCAATCACCTGGTGAAGTGAAAAGAACAATTACCAATTTCCGAATTACCAAGCGTTGGAAGTGTGTATCACACGATCAGACAAGAAGTGCCAGAAAGGTTCACGCGCGGACTTGCCTGACCTGTATTTTGTAAAGAATAATTGTCGTTTGAGACACAACCTTAAAAAGAAAAGCTATGTCGTCCTTAGTCCTGAATAAAATGATGACAGATTTATAGAAATCAAAGTATCTATTTCTCAGCTGAACTTTGACTTGGAAATAAATCGATTTGATTTGAAAATGAATGTTACTATTAGTTAAAATAAACGTTGACTAAGCTTTAAAAAGTTAAATTTACAGATGTTATTATTATTATTGTTACTATTATTATTATTGTTTATTTTTTCGTATTCTTTTTTTTTAACTGGTTGGTGGCTCGAAACCTACCCGAAAAATGAGGACATTCATCAAGATCTCAAATGCGAAATTTTTACACGGCCAGAAGCCTTCATATTCAAGGCCAGTTACTGAGAATGATATGACTTAACGATTCCTTGCAGAAGCAAAATGCCTCGCATTTCACTGGAGCAAATTGATTAGTTCGACCACCGACGTGGCCAGTTTGAATCCAGCTTAGTGACCCGGCCGCTTACCTGTGAGCTCGTCAATTCCCACTCCTCTCTCTATTATCTTTAAGCGGTCTTTCCAAACAACAAGAAACCACACATGACGCCATTTTTTATTGAAACAATTTATTCATCGCCATTCTGGTGCGACTGGCTAACTGACCTGCAGTGTCCGGATTTAAATTTTAAACGCTGGAAGACAGGTTTTTAACGGTTCGTTTTACTCTTCGGAATCTCAAAAAGCATCAAGTAAAACATTCTTATGTGTAATTCTCATTGGCGCGGATAAAAATAATATGGTGTCCAGTACATTCTTCTCGTTCAAAGCGTCTCTTGATCAATACTAAAACCTGCATCAAACTTTTAACTCCCTGGATAGACAACTGAATATGTGGCTTCTCTATACAATATGGATACATCTTCAGCTACTAATCTTCTAGAACGAACAAATTTTGAAGCTAGAGGATGTACAATGATTGAATGCCTAAATTCCCAAACTTATGTAACAGGAAACATCTGTTAGCAAGGATAAGAGTTAAGTCTCACATTGTGAATACGGAGTTAAAATAAAAACGAACTCTGTGTTATTTAAGACCAAGGTTGGTTATCAGAGAACATTTCTTTCGGTAATCATTAGTTTCTCGAGCTCTAGATTATGTAACCCATTGAAAGAACTGGAAAAACTTCAAGCGAAGAGAATGTTTTGTAACTTGTCTTCAACTCTAAAAAAAAGTTCATCCCGAAATTGTCGCCATTTTTCAGACGCGGTACCTTTCGAGAAAAAGTAATATGATGCGTTTGTGAAAAAAGAGACTTCTTTAATGATTGGCATATTAAGGATAAGAATCGTCAGTTCTTTCGAGCGACAACGTTGAAAATTTTACCAGAGAAATAAAACTTAAGCTATATTTTACATTCCGTCTGTGGCACTATTTGGAACATCCAGCATTCCTCATGCTACTATTTTGCAGGCAGTGGGATTAAATTGTATTTATCATGAGGGCTTTTACACGGAGCCTAGTGTAAAGTGACGTGTAATTTGATACGGTTTAGTCTTGTTAATACTGTTCGTATCCATTGACGTTTTCTCGAAATGTTCCAAGAATCTAGAATGTTTCAAAATGGTTAACATAGAAAAAATGTGTGATTCCTTTAACAATTCAGCTTGAAGTTGCATAACAGGGGGAAACGATATGCTGGTCAGGAATCTTTTTTTTGAACTAAACAATGTACGTGAGTAACATGGATATCATACAAAGGAAAATGTCACCACCTTTCATCATGAAGAGGGTCGGGACAAGACGAGCGACTTCATGTTTACCCGAAATTTCACTTTTCTATAACTTCTTTAAAAGATGTAAATTCTCCTTGAGGCAGAGCGAAGTTTCCAGAGAACACTTAGTATGATATTTGGCTTTAGAATTAAAAATCCCCAACGTTGGAAGCTGGGATAGAATGATTGAAACCCGTCAGATCTCCAAATTTAGTCAAAACAAAACGTGAGTTACTAAGTAACTGGGTTTTGCACTGGAAATTTTGTCGTCAAAACAAACCGGTTTTAAGACGGCACCAAAACGAAGCCGGCTATTTTTTTAGGATTGTTAACGCTTAAAGGGTGAAAGAACATCGATTTCCTTTAAACACCACGATACTAAAATTAATTTTAATGTAAGTGGCATCTGCTAAGGAAATATAGGATTTATATATGATGAAGTGGATTGTATCAGAATCAAGAGTGCTTTACCAGAACCTGAAAAGGAACGAGCATGTGGTGTTTCTTAAATTACGCGGTTTTGTTTTGTTTTGGTGAGAAAAGAATCTTTGATTTTTTTACCTAGAGTTTAATTGATTCATGGTAAAAAAAAAAAGTTACTTTGATACACTATACTTTTAAAATTGTTTTTGTATCTTGAGTGCTCTGTGCTGCGTTCTGTATTGTATAGGGAACATAAATCCGGATTGGAAATTAGGGATATTGTCAACATTACTCACTCCAGGTGTACTACGTGACCCAGAGTAAAGATGTTATAGATGGATGGTTCTAAAGATGGAAACCCAAATTTCAAAACTAACAAAGTAGCGACTTTTATCACTCTTTTTTTTCTGCCATACTAATATGGTTAAAAGTGTAACTTTTTAAACCTGTTGAGGAATACTGAGGTGTCAGCAATTTTTCTTTAATTATATATATATGTATATATATTTTTTATTTGATTCAGTCTTCTTAATATAATAATTTTCAATTCTACTTCTCGTTAAATAAGCTTTAAGTTTATACTGTAAAAAAAAAAGAAAAACAATATCGATTTATGTTTGCATTTACTCTTTACAAACTTCATTTCCGCCAAAAACAAATCGTCCGAAACGATTTGTCCGCGCCATGTTTTATGCAAAAATTATGCGTTGGAGGCTCTTAGCGCTAACTTTGGCGGTTCTTTATTGTTTTTGTCCAAAATAATGGTTTAAATCCCAAGCTGTGCTTTAAAAATGAATACCTGCTTAAATTTTGTCTGAATCGAGTAAGATCCCAGGAGGCGAAAACGTAAGACCCTAGACAACGTGCGTACATGTAAATGAAAAGTTTGTCACCGCTCTGCAAGCTATTCTAACCACCTCGACGCTTTTGCGTCACTGAGGCGGATCTCGTGTTGTGCGCAAATTGTATAAAATAGGACAAGCCACTCGTTTATTGAACCACAATTTACTGAGCTATTCGAAAGAGGTGAGCCAAACTGCCTGTGCAAATACTTAGAAGCAGAATGCCAAAAACCTGCTTTCCCAACCTAGTTCAGGTGGCAATGGTTACAATGCTTCTGAGCATGGTCTTCGTTGAAGAAATCATTTCAGGATTTACCGGAAGTACCCCAAGTTGTTATTATCATCCTCCATATAACTGCCCGTCATCGAAAGATGGCCAAAAGCGTCAACTTAGAAAGGTTGGTTTATTTTCAACAAGTTTGTCTTTTGTTGTTGCTCGAGATGATAATCTTGTATCACCCGTCATTTTGGTTTGTGTAGATTCTGAATTTTCATAACGCAATTTTTGCCCTTGGCTGTTATCGCTTTGCTGTCCAACGCTTCGCAACGATTGCTTGATTTCCCACGCTTGTTATGCAATCCTTTTTTTCCCACGCTTATTGCAGAGTGCTCTTTTCCCTGCGTTAGGGGCAGAATGCCTCTTTTTCCGCGCTTAATGCAAAGTGCTTTCCAGCATTTGGCATTGATTGCTTGTTCCCGCTCCCGGTACACAGTGCTTCTCTTCCCACCTCTTATAAAATGCTTCTTTACCCGCGCTTAGTACTGAGAGATTCTTTTCCCGCGCTTAGTTCAGAGTGATTCTTTCCTTGCGCTTGAAATCGATAGCTTGGTTTACCGCGCTTCGTATCGAGCCCTTCCTTTCCCTTCCTTTCTACTGAGTTCTTCCGATTTTTCCCGTGCTTCCTATTGACTGCTTTTTTACGACCAGCAGTTTTTCCTCGTTTTAAGTCCCCATCGATGCAAAGAGATGATTTAATTTCTTTGCTTGTCATTGGATGACCTATCCCTGTGATGTAATCTGAATATTAATGTTGTCGTACGCCTTTCAGATTGAGGACATGTGCTTGACAAAGAAGAGAAGCCTCTGCCAATCTGTTCAACTTTACTGCAACTTTGAACAAGAACTTGGTAACAATTGAATAAAAATATTGGAGAACCAACGCAGAAATAAAAAGGCTAAGGAGTTGAACAATGTTAAATGATAAATTTATGTTAGTACGCAAAAGGTCTTAATTTAGGCCATTTTAATATCAATTTAAGCTACTATTTTTTTTCCAAGCTCCATGGGTACACTTATTAAATTAATTTACATGCCTGTAAACTAAAGAATAAATTGCGCCAAGTGGTTAAAGTTTCAACTTTTGATGTCACCACCGTAACAAAAGCATTTCACCATCATCAGCTGTTATCAATTGAGTTGATGACGTAAATTGGCCACTGTAAAGAGTTTACAAGCCAATCGCTCTGATGAAGGGCTAACGATTGAAACGTCAGCTTTTAAACTCTTTACGGTAGCCAATTTACGTTATCAACCCAGTTGATAATACTTGATTACCCTGTTATACCCTCCCACCGATGCAGCACCACCGTTTCTCTAGAAACTTCTCCCCTTAATTCATCATCATCAGATCGAATTAGCTCGGCTTTCCATGACAAGTTTCTTCCCTTCTTCTCTGTCATTCCCATAACATTTGGAATTTCTCCATATCCTGCGTCCTGAATAGTCAATCAATCGGTCGATGTTTGTCCTCTTTGGGCGTCTTTTTGCGTTTCTGCCATTTGGAAGACACATTTGGAAGTTTTCCATATCCTGCATCCTGAATCGTCAATCATTTGGTTGATGTTTGTCCTCTTTGTCTTGCTGCGTGTCTACCATTTCTGGAAAAGTTTAACTCGTTGAAACGTTATATTTAGTGAAATAGATTAATTTCAATCTATAGAAACATGGTGAAAATGTTTTTCACAAATTTGGTGATGATTGAACAAATACTACTTAAGAATCTTTTAGAGAGCAACCGAAAAAGCACAAAAAAACATTTTTCAAAAAATGAAAATTAACGGTCCACAAACGGTAACAAAATTATGTTGCAGTCCCAGGTTAGTTTTTCAACCAAGATTCGCTATTTTTAAAAAAATATGGTTGAAATCCATACGATCTGATTCTTTCCTTAGTCAACTTTGCCGTTATCTACCTTTGAAGCTCATTGCAAGGTTCTGTTTGCCGAAAGCTCCAGCTTTATGTATAACTCGCTCGCCGCAAATATTTTCTAGGTCATATTCTTGGTCAATATTTTGTTGACTTTCATTATGTTGGTCTCAGTTACGCGAAATTGTTTCAACCGCTCTGTGAGCGTTGAAATCCCATCAGAGTTCGCCTGTGTGTATCTGGCGAGGATAGCACTCCTTCACCACAGCCATTTGGCACATTAATCATCCATATTGGACAGGAGTCTCCGCAAGAACCTTCACACTGATGAGTCTGGAACCATTTCGTAAGCGCCCCTTAGGAAAAATTACCTTCGATTTTAATGCACCTCCCAAAGGTTTTGGAAATAACTTCCAGGAAAAATTTTTTCGCCAATCTTAGCGCTGGGTTGCAACTCCAGCAACGCATAGATTGGCAGGTTTTGGCCTGTTTTAGTGTACTCTCCTTGTAAATCAAAATCATCTACACGAAAATTTAAAAAACAAAAATATATCATTTCCTCGTTTCGACCTCGATACATTGGTGAGATACAGATTTATGCTCAGTTTAAATTTCAAAGCTGCCGTTTCGAGCGTTGGCCAAAACGTCAGCTTTGAAACTCTTTACGGTGGCCAATTTACGTTATCAACTCAGTTGATAATTCCTAATTATCATGCTATACAGTTTCTTTAGAAACTTACCCCCTTTATGTTCAGTTAAACTTCCTAAACTTTCTTGTGTTTTGAGGCACATGGCGCACAAGCACCACCTCTCGTCACAAACTGTAACAGACTTCCCATTAATACCGAGTGATATCCTCATATTACCCTGTTCCCAAGTCATCCCACATACTCTCATTCGTAGGAGAGACCTGAGCTACCGTGAAGTACCAAGGATTGTACTCTTGAAACGTAACTTGCTTTTATTGTTTGTTTTTTAGACATCGCCAACACCTTGACGCTTCTTTAACACACCCCCTTCGTACCTCTACTCTTTCTTCCTGAAACTTTGACATGGTCTACCTTGCTTTGAACGAGATACACAAACTATGAACTGACACACGCGGGTTAAAATGAAGGGCACGCACTTGAAAACTACCGAAGAGATTATACAATACAAAAAAAAACAACGTTTGGTCGTATGATGAAATGCTTATTGACAGACTTTGGTCAAGCCGGTTGGGAAAATATTTGGCCCTCGGTCGTGATGCAGGGACCTCAATGCACTTGGTCCGTAGGTCATGACTTCGAGCAGATATTTTCACGTCCTATCCTCCCACTCATTCAATAAGCGTAAATTGTCGTATCATCATATGATCGTACGGACCCGCGTGCGAAATCCCGTAGAAAACCATAGTGAAAGCTGATGTTTGCAAGGGCCAGACAGATTGACGTGAACCGGTCCGGAAAAAGCCGTGGGGCCCTACACTAACACGGCTTGTTCCAAAAACTAAAAGGAAAAAAGAAAAAAAGTTAAAGAAAAAACTCGTGTTTTTCGTTAAATTGCGAGTTTCTTGCTCTGACTCTTAAAAAACGAAGGAAACGTTTTCATTGCATAATCTTTTTTTTTTGAGGTTGTCCCGTGTGTGCCCGTCTATCGCGTCCTATTTAGTTTAAAAGAAGACTTTCAAAATTTTCAACATTCAGTGGTCATATGATAAAATACTTCTCAGCTTATGCCGGACGGGAAAATATAGAAATTTTCTCGTCCGACCCGACCAAACTCAGCCAATAAGTACATTATCATTCATAACCTTTGCAAATATTCAAAGTTGGTGATTTTAAGCTGTAGTTTAAGTCGTCTCAGTTGATAAAATACCGCATTATCTGACAGTAGACCACATTTAATTTATTCTTTCTTTGTTTCATTTTGTTTTCATTTGCTTTGGATGTTTGTCGTTATTAATTTGTTTGTAATTTTTGTCATTAATCTGGTGGGTGATATCGATTGGTTGATTTTGTAACAGTTCTTTTATTTGCTTATTTACAGGCATGAACAAGTTTCGCTCACGCTGTCTTTGTGCTCTTTCCAGGACCCACTCTCTTCCTTCCGCGAGAAAGTACCCTGTTTGCGGCTAGGCCTTTGCCGATTGTGCTCGGCAACTTTTGCGCAACTTGGCATTTTGAGAAACTTTTTCAAGTTCTAGCAACCTCAAGCAATTCTGCCTCTCTGAGCAATTTTTTAAGTAAACTATAGATTCAGAGCACATATCAATTTAAGCTCGTAAAAGTCAACTATTTCAGAGAAAACTTTAATTTATACGATTTTGTTTATCAGCCTTTGAAAACAAAACCTGTCACTCGACAATGTTTGCAGGTCTGTCGTAAGACTTAAAATTATCCTTAAATCTCATCCAATTTGCGAGCAAATCCTTAAAGCCGAGTTTCACTTCATTTTTCTTGACCCATGTTAGCAATTATTGTGAACAACGAAAAATAATGCTTTTGATTGACGTTTCTGTAAAAAAAAAAAATCGAGAAACTGAGATAGCAATGTTTGAAATGTAGGTGGCAACCTTTTGGTTTTTGGAAATTTTCCAGCAAATTTCTGGTATTTCAGCGAGCAACTTTCCAGCGCTTTCCGAGCGCAATCGGGACAGGCCTGGTTGCGGCTGGTCAAGTGCTTATGTAGAATAAGGAACGCTGCAGAGAGGGTGGGTCCTCGACCGATCGACAAGGCACAAGTGCATTTTCAAAAGGGCGGTTACGTTCATTAGTAGACCTCAATAAACGCCTTGATATATAACCAGATTTCAAACCAGAGAGAGTAAGGGTCTAAGCATCGATAGCAGGGGGAAAAGAGGCCGAATTTTTCAAAGAAAGTAAGTAAGTAGATAAATGACTTCAAACATGTGGCTAAAATCCAAACTCCAGTACACCGGCTGCTATCCAAAATGGCAGGTTTGTCGTTGCCATGGTGATGTCAGTCACCATAAGCCAGATTATGAATTATGGATTATGAAACATGTTGGTGACACTGTGGAACCTGGAATCTATATTTTTAACATGAAGAACGAGCATATTACCAAGTATGCCAGAGATGGAAACGAGAATGGTCATAGTCACTTCCACACCAAGTTCGGCTCGAAAGCGACTAAGAGGATCATAAAAACTGTAATTCAGACATATTCGTCAGCTTGTAGTACGCTTCTTGAGATCTTCTTTCGGAAAAGGAATCGTCAAGTAAAACCCAAGTTATAAAATACAGCCAACACATGTTAAATATACCATTTGTATCATTTGGTTAACTCTAAATTTTACTAGGCAAAAGTGGAGAATCGTAGATTTAGTTTTAAAGTAAAATGCGTGATTAGCCATGGTTTCGCATTTTTTTGGTCGATAAATTAGCGCGAGTTTTCTACATCAATCACGTAGCATGGTAAAGTAAAAGAAATACCTGTCTGTATCATTTGAAACGCTCGATTCAAAATTTTCTCTCTCAGGGAAAATGATCCAGGATTTTGCTAACTATTGAATTTCCGTCAGCTCAGCTAAGATATTTTCATTATGGATTAGTTCCTTTTTTCAGCAACATGAAACATGCTTTTTTGGAAGAAATTTAACACAAAAGAAAGTTCCTTCTGTTTCACAAGTAAATCTACCTAGAAATGGGAAATCAAGCAAATCAGCATAATTTTCCCATCGAAAAAGGTTTGAAAAAACTTTTAAACTTATCAACTAGACAAAAAAAAGCCGAAAGTGGCGAGGAAAGCATATAAATTTTAGGAGTTTTTCGAGGGCTAGATTAACGATACGTACACCTCATGACATATCCTGACATATCGTTTCCTTTTTTTGTCACACACTCTGGTATTCGTTGAGGTTTCACTAGGGAACTTTAGCAGTTAGGACGGCAACGCCAAGAGAGACTTCGATTCAAAAAGGAATGTATATATTTTAGTTGGAATCGGATGTGTTTACCTTCTCTTACAGCTCCGCAAGTTAACCTCAGCATCACGTATGAGAGCGGCACTGAGTTTCAAATGTAAACTTAAATAATTTGCTGTCGGGGTTTCCTTTCTCGGACCACGCAAAGTTTGATGATTTCACGTTGTCATTTTGCCGAAGACGGCTAAAAAATGTACACAGTTTTAAAACGCGCGTATTGAGCTATTGTTCTGCTCATTAGATCTTTTGTTTTGCCACGTCCTCGTTGTCGTCAC